TTGTTGTTTTGGCGGGTCCGGGCTGGGGATTCGAACCCGCCACCTTAGGTGTATTTGACTGGCACCTTAGCCGCTTGAGCCACAGGCGCCGAGCCTATTGTGAAAATTAAATCAAATAATAATGTATGTAAAGCCCCTGATCAAGGAAAAGGATTACTTATTACTTAAAACGACATAGAGGAGACATGTAGTTTTAACAGAATTAGAATTGAATGTTGACAGTTTCACATGGTTCCAATCTAATAGTAGTGTTTAGTCCTTAAGCTGGACAGTAGGAACAAAAATATTTCTCTCATTGTTGTCTGTATAATTTTATAGGCTTGAAATATTTCAAAATAAAACATTTTTATGAAAAAAAAAAAGAGTCAGTGGGAAAGGTTTGGAGAGGTAGTATCTTGGTGGCCAGGAACACAAGGTTTTGAGCCAGATGGAGCTGGGCTGAACCCTCCTCCTTGCCTGTTGAGCTATGTGACCATGGCTAGTTGTTTGACTTCTGGGACCTCCATTTTCTTGTCTGTAAAATGGTAATAATAATGTCAGGTTTCAAGGCATCTGTCTGTCCCCTAAAATGACAGGGTTTCAGGCAGCTCCTGTGTCCTCAGTCCTCAGGGTCCTCTTGGCCAAAGAATGACCAGACACCCCAAAGTAAGGCAAGCATGGAACAAAGTTTATTGAAGAAGAGAAAGATACAGTTATAGAATAAGAAGGTTTACAGAGCAAGATATGTTAGGTTAGCCATAGAAGGTGAACAGGGCGCTGGCAAAGTGGCTCATACCTCTAAGTAATCCCAGCACTCTGGGAGGCCAAGGCAGGTAGATCACTAGAGCTCAGGAATTGAGACCACCCTGAGCAAGAGGGAGACCCTGCCTCTACTAAAAGTAGCCGCACATTGGGGTAGACACCTGTAGTCCCAGCTACTTGGGAGGCTGAGGCAGGAAGATCAATTGAGTCCAAGAGTTTGAGGTTGCTGTGAGCTATGATGCCACAGCACTCTAGCCAGGGTAACAAAGTGAGATTCTCTCTCAAAAACAAACAAAAAAAAGGCAAGTGAATGGGGCCTCCATTGTCGGGACAGAAGGGCAAAGAGGCATAGGTTATGGCCAGTGGTTCTATTTATACCACTGGGGTTGGTCCTACCTTGTGGTTTAGAGGTCACCTCGGAACCAGAGTCTTACTGAACATCATGACCTCCCATGAGCCTCTCTGAAAAGTACATGCGGCGGGGGGGAGTGTAGACTTAAATGTAGACTTAAGCTAATGACATGATAATTAGCTTTAAGGCTCTTCTAGGTCCCCTTCAAGACTCTAATTGTACCTGTGAGGCTTGGCTATATCCTTTTTGAAGTTGGCACACTAAGTACTGACTAGTAGATGGTAGGATGTTCCTTCCCCACCACATGAGAGCAATCATCACTCTAGACAGGATTCGGGTGAGATGGAGGCCTGGGCTAACGCTAAACTCCCCGCCCCCACGCTTTTCCCCAGGAGAGCCAGATTTCTAGCTATCCACGGAACGATAATACCAGCTTTACTGAGCTGTTGTGCAGATCGGTCGCATATTGGAAACATCAGCTAGACCTTTCACAGAGCACAGAATCAATGCTATTGAGGGTGATGGTGGTAGATGGAGTACAATGTAGGCAGTAGGCTTCACACCCCACCAGTCTGCCTGCAAACCCTGGTGCTGAACCCCACATTTCCTGGCAAGATGAGCTGGACAGCTCAGCTGCTCCAAGCTCAGTCTTGCCAAGGAGTGAAATTTCAGGTATTTGCTCTGATTTCATCTGTTTTTTCTCTTCTGGAACTTCACAGCAGGGCATGTCCTCTGTGCTTCTGAAATCCACAGATTTACCCTTTCTATACCAGAGCACCCGTTACTATTTGGTGAACTACACAGGATAAAGCAATGGTTAATAATAGCAGCAGTATTTTATACTTAGACATTCCTCTTTAAAAAAAAAAAAAAAACCTTTGAAAAACATTGACCAAATTTACCTTCTAATAACTAGAATCTAGTTGTTCATACAGCCGCTCTGCTGTTCATGCCCATGACACTCCAGACTTTCTTCAAAGCCCTGGTGGAAATGACTTACACATTCAGTGTGGCCCTACCCTTCGTATCTATCCTGTCAGTGCTATAACCCGAGAACCCACCACGGGGCTGGGAAACAGCAAGCGTTGTGTGTTTGGGAGTAAGAAATTTGCAAGGACACAGGTAATTTAGTCTCTGAGTCTCAGATGAAGAAATTGCTGCTTAGAGAAAATAAGGCTCTCCCAGAGTAACAAGAAACAGTATAGTTTGAAGGACCACAGTGAATGAGAGTGGGGGCCATGGGGCCTCAAACTCAAATGCTTATAGGGCCAGACAAATGGGGCAGAGCGTCAAGTGGAGGAACACAGAGCAAGTGTCAAGGTAAGTGGCAAAAGACCTAAGGCTGGAGATCATTTGGACCAGAGGAGAGGGTGGTCCACTGTAGAGCTGGACATCCTGCCTAGCCGCAGCTCCCGTGCAGGAATATGGGCCCAGATGGCCAGATACTCTTTCAAGAGGCACTAGGATTCTGGCTTTTTATATGAATTCTTTCAATTAAGAAATTTTAAATTTTTTAAAAAATATATTGCATAGGCAACTTTTCGTGGGTGTAATGTGACCTTTAGATGACCAAATTGTTAATGAGTCTAAATTCTGAAACAGTATACTTTCAAACAGTATTCAGGGCTAGAACAGAAATATCCTCATTCTCATAGTCACGTCAAGACTCCCTGGTACCGTGTAGTGACTGACCTGCCCAGCAGTCCATGGCACTCTTGTTATATAGCTTTTTAAGTTGTCACACTCCCCCCTGACCCCAGTCCAACTAAACAGAAATGCCAACCCCCATCCATCAACTCCCCAAATGATGAAAAAGTCTTTTACCTGTCTCGGGTGCTAGGGTTGTGCAGTAAAGCCACTGAGGGGAAGTTCTATCCATCTTGACCAGATTTGCTCTGTTCCCTAGGGTGGTGAAATTCCGTCGCACAGGCGAGAGTGCAAGGTCAGAGGACGACACGGCTTCAGGAGAGCATGAGGTCCAGATTGAAGGGGTCCGCGTGGGCCTAGAGGCCGTTGAACTGGACGATGGGGCAGCTGTGCCCAAGGAGTTTGCTAATCCCACTGACGGTGAGGGGGCCCTGCAATTGGAGCATCAGCCCAGGACATAGTTAGGGGTTCTGAGGCTCCAGGGTTGCCTCCTCAGTGAGTGATCTCAGTGGGTTCTTGTGAAAGGGCAGTCAGAAAGGCCCGGAGGACCCAAGGGTGACACTGGAAGTGCGGGCTGGGCTCACATGGCTGACTTCAGCAGGCAAGGTTACATCACAATTCCTACCAATGAGCATCACAGCATAACACTTGGCTGAGAATGGCAGCAGTCATGATGGTGATGACAAAGGTGGTGATGGTAGTGATGATAGTGGTGGCGGTCATAATGTTGGTTATGACGATAGTATTGATGGTGATGGTGAAAATGACATTGGTATGGTTGCAGCTGACATTGGCTGAGATTTTACTCTGTGCCAGGCACTGTTGTAAGCACCTTATGTTTTGCCCATTAATTCTTAGAACATCTGCAGTTGGATCTATTACCATCATTGTCCCCATTTTGCAGATGAGGAAACTTAATTAAGGTACTTAACCCTTCTGTGCTTCAGTTTCCTCATCTGCAAAATGGGGACGATGATGGTAATAGATCCAACTGCAGATGTTGGTGATTAGCCAACCTGGCTGCAGAGCCCACGTGCTTCCCTGAGACCTTGTGCTGCCTCTGAGTAAAGCTGATCAAGTCAGGGGCTCAGGGTGATGCTGTGGACCTGGTCTCCAACTTTTCTCCTCACCTGATGTGGATGGAGGAAAACATACCATGCAGGTTCGGCGCCCATGGTACAGTGGTTAGGGCGCCAGCCACCAACCCAAGGCTGGCGGGTTTGAACCCAGCCTGGGCCTGCTAAACAACAATGACAACTGCAACAACAAAACAGCTGAGTGTTGTGGCGGGCACCTGTAGTCCCAGCTACTTGGGAGGCTGAGGCAAGAGAATCACTTATGCCCAAGAGTTTGAGGAGAAGTTGCTGTGAGCTGTGATGCTACAGCACTCTACCGAGGGCAACATAGTGAGACTCTATCTTAAAAAAATAAATAAAATTAAAAAACATACCGTGCAATCCTGAAAGACCCCAGACTCTCAATATAAAAGAGGACTAATGACTTGAACCCAAGGCCCGTTGTTGGTAGATCTAGGGAGGCAATGACTGGGCAGCATGGGGAGATGGTGGTTGGGGAGAGGCTTTCCTCTCAGGCTGATCTGGGCTCAACTCCTAACTCTACTAGAACCTGCTAGTATGATAAACACCAGCTCACACTTACGGAGAAAATTATGATTGACATATGGGGTCCATGGTTGAAATTCCAGAAAGATGACAACTCTTAACAGAGGCTGTTGAGATCCTCAGAGCATCTACCCAGCATCCCCCCTTAGTATTTTTTTCTTTCTTTTCTTTCTTTCTTTTTTTTTTTTTAAGAGACAAGAGTCTCACTTTATCGCCCTGGGTAAAGTGCTGTGATGTCACGGCTCATAGCAATCTCCAATTCCTGGGCTTAGGCAATTCTCTTGCCTCAGCCTCTCAAGTAGCTGGGACTACAGGTGCCTGTCACAACACCCAGCCATTTTTTGGTTGCAGTTGTCATTGCTGTTTAGCTGGCCCGGGCCTGGTTCGAACCTGCCAGCCTGGGTATATGTGGCTGGCGCCCTACTCACTGAGCTACGGGCACCGCCCCTGGGATTATGCTTTTAAAAAGCATTTATTGCTGGGATTGGTGGCTCACACCTATAATCCTAGCAACTGGGAGACTGAGGTGGGAGAATCCCTTGAGCTCAGGAGTTTGAGACTAGGCTGAACAAGAGTGAGACCTCATCTCTACTGAAATAATACCAAAATTAGCTGGGCATTGTAGCGGGCACCTGTAGTCCTAGCTACTCAGGAGGCAAGACAAGAGGATTGCTTGAACCGAAGAGTTTGAGGTTGCTGTGAGCTGTGATGTCACTGCACCCTAGCCTGGAGCAACAGAGTGAGACTGTGTCTCAAAAAATAAAATAAAATAAAATAAAATGGATTTATTTTTTCCTGTCTATGGAAGTAATAAATTATAAAAGGAAGAAATTAAAATCTCATGTGATTTCCCCGCCAGAGACAACAAAAACAAAACTATAATTGACAGCCTTGTATACATTCTATTGATATATTTGTATACAAACACACACCACAAAACATGTCCTTTTTAATGAATTATTTATTTTTCCCGAAATGAGAAGGGAGCAGACTTTTCTAAGAACAGAAGCAGACTAAATATTTTGTTGTCCATCTTTTGTTTAAAAAAATTCATTAACAACATATTGCATGCATCTGTCTATATCTGGACATTCTTTTATTTATTTATTTTTGAGACAGAGTCTCAAGCTATTGCCCTGGGTAGAGTGCTGTGGCATCATAGCTCACAGCAACCTCCAACTCTTGGGCTTAAGTGATTCTCTTGCCTCAGGCTCCAAGAAACTGGGATTACAGGTGCCCACCAGTTCAATGCCCAGCTATTTTTTTTTTTCCAGTTTTTGGTCAGGGCCGGGCTTGAACCTGCCACCTCTGGTATATGGGGCTAGCACCCCCAGCTATTTTTTGGTTGTAGTTGTCATTGTTGTTTGGCAGGCCTGGGCTGGATTCAAACCTGCCAGCTCTGGTATATGTGGCTGGCACCCTGGCTGCTTGAGCTACAGGCACCAAGCCTGGACATTCTTTTAAATAGTTGGGTCATGTTTCTTAGTGTGATATTCCATAAATGGTTATATTCTTTAATTTCTTTAACCAACCTCTGATTGATAGATATTTGGGGGTTTCCAGTTGTAAACAGTGTCACAGTAGCAAGGTATTGTCACACTGGAGCATTTTTCTAGGATAAGTTCTAGCAGCAGCATGTGCTGCCTTTAACTAGCTTGCCTGGGGACCACCCTGGACACCCTCATGTTGGGACAGCTGAAGGTGCACTGATTCCCTCCTCCCCTCCCCTTTCTCTTTCTCAGATACTTTCATGGTGGAAGATGCGGTGGAAGCCATTGGGTTTGGAAAATTTCAGTGGAAGCTGTCTGTTCTCACTGGCTTGGCTTGGGCAAGTATTTGGGGGGCTGGCAGTACCCATACCTATAGTTTCCAAAAAATCCCTATGCTGCTTAACTGGGTTTCCATGGTCTACAAGGAGGACATGGTTTCTTCTACACAGAGCCTTTGTTTGAAATCTAACCAACAAAGTGTATGTCGAGGGGTGGTCACAGAGGTGTGTGCTTGGAGGGCCTTGGGTGTGGTTGGTGATTGCCCTCAAGGAGGAGTTAAATGTTCCAGATAATTAAGTGATTTTCTACCCTCTCGGATCCGGATTACCATGAGATTATGATGCCAGCTGTGAAGCTCTCCCTGGAAAAACACACACAGATTAAAAATTGGCCTTCTGGAGCAGTGCCTGTGGCTTAGTGGGGAGGGCGCCAGTCACATACACTGAGGCTGGTGGGTTCGAGCCTGGCCTAGGCCTGCTAAACAACAATGACAACTGCAACAACCACAACAAAAAATAGCTGGGCGTTATGGCGGGCGCTGGTAGTCCCAGCTACTTGGGAAGCTGAGGCAAGAGAATCGTTTATGCCCAAAAGTTTGGGTTGCTGTGAGCTGTGATGCCACAGCACTCTACCAAGGGTGACATAATGTCACCAAAAAAAAAAAAAATTGGCCTTCTGCTTCAAGGTGCTCACAACCTCTTACTGGAATCCTCTGATATAGCTATGGCAAGCAGAACAGCTAAACCTTTATTACAGCTGAAATTGATTTTTGTAAATGGTGTGAGAGAGAAATCTAACTACATATTATTCCAAATGGATTGTCAGTTTCCCACATCCTATCCCGTGCTAATTTGTAAAGCCCCCTTTAACACACACCACATTCCCTCAAAGCACAGGTGTGCTTCCAGACTCTCACCTCTATCCTGTTGTTCTGTCTGATCTCATAAAGAGATGTTTCATTGCTGGGGCTTCCTAGTATGTGTTAATATTAAAAGGTCATTCAGCAGATGGGGAACTCAGCAGGTGGTAGAAGAAGGGAGTGTTTCTCCCTCTCTGGGGTCATGTACTTGGCCAGCCATCCCTGGCCCCGGGGGGGTGGGGTGGGGTGGGGGTGGGCAGCATCCTGGTTTGATGGCGTCTCCTTCCTCTCTGCAGATGGCCGATGCCATGGAGATGATGATCCTGAGCATCCTGGCACCACAGCTGCACTGTGAGTGGCGACTCCCCAGCTGGCAGGTTGCATTGCTGACCTCGGTAGGCAGCCCAGTGGCTCTCTCCTGTTGTCTCTGATCCCCTGGGGAGCCCTCACAGGATATTCCCCTTTATCCTGCTGCTAGGGACTCAGCAGAAAATAATTAAGCCCTTGATGGAAACACTGTGACCTTAACTTCTATTAGTTGCCACCTTACCTCACGTGTCCTGACAGGTTTGTAGCCAACACTACCCCAGCCGGGATCCAACTACTTTGCGGGGGGTGGGGGAGTGCACATCCCAGACATTCCTCTCAATTGCTGGGAATTTGAAACCTGCCAGTGCATATCACTTAAACCTTATAAGCCTCACTTTTCTTGACTGCAAACAGGAGACGCCAATCTCCCTCCTCTACCCAGGGTGATATGAGGATTGGGGACAACACAGTGCCTGACATACAGTAGGTGTTCAATAAATGGTAGGTAGCTGTTGCTCCCTGGAATTAAGGCTTGAAGGAGACTGCAGTGAAGCCCTCAATTTTTTTTGTCAGGGGGAGAGCAGCAGCAACCTTCTAAAAGAGAGAGAGGAATGGCCGAACCAGACAAGAGGGCAATAATAATGATAACCACAAAAGCTAATATTTATTGAGCGCTTGCTATGCGAAGGCCTTTACACATCTGGTATACCGGAAAGGCCAGACAATTAAGGTCTCAAACTCATCCTAGAAAAAGTGCCACATACCTCGTTACTGAATATCACTACCATCGCCTTTGACCTACTCCCCGTGGCAGTCTGAATGTCACTGTCGTGATATTCAGCAATGAGGTATGTAGCACTTTTTCTAGGGTGAGTTCACAAACTTAATTTTCAAACCTCATACAATGACAGCTTAGATGGCCATTGCAGAAAAAGAGTTCCATAGTGGCTGTGAAGGGTGAGCTAGGCGCTGGCGTCTGTATACATCTTCCTAAAGGGAGGACCTCGAGAGTGATGGGAATGATATTCAGCGATGTGGATGCAGCACTTTGTCTAGGCTGAGTCCCCGTACTTAACTGTCTGACCTCAAATGAATAATGTACATTACGCTCTTTAATTCTTACAACCCTATAGGCTAGGTACTGTTTGTGAACTAAAATAAGATTTTAAGCACCCTCCCCCCCCTCAGCTGACTGACCGGACCACATCGTGGTCGAGGGCACCCCAGGAATACCCTGAAGGGGAGTTGCTGGCCGTGAGAAGGGAGGTCCGACATGACTTGGCATGCCCCCTTCCCTTCTTGGAGAAATCCTTTGGAATTCATTCGCAAAGCTTAAACCACACCTGCAAGTCATCAGTTTACTTAATAGATCACTTGAGTCTGGGTACGTGTTTGGTGGCTTGTCTCTAATAACAGATTTCCTTAACTTAGAACATTCCAAGTCTTTAGACCAGTGTTGTTGGTTTTTTTGGGGGGGGGGGTTTTAGACAGTCTTACTATGTCACTCTCAGTAGAGTGTCATGGCGTCACAACTCATAGCAACCTCAAACTCTTTGGCTTAAGCAAGTCTCTTACCTCAGCGTCCCAAGTAGCTGGGACTACAGGTGCCTGCCACAACACCCGGCTATTTTTTTCTTGCAGTTGTCATTGCTGTTTAGCAGGCCCAGGTTCGAACCCACCAGCCTTGGTGTATGTAGCTGGTGCCATAACCACTGTGCTACGGGCAC